GGGGGGGGAGAGAAACATTTTAAAGAAAACAAAAAGTTCAAGAGAGCCTTACTTACGCATTTTAAATGGAATCAAACAAATAGATTTCCAAGTTACAAACACTCAGAACTAGCAGATCTAGTCATGTCAGGAAAGCAAATCTTTGTTTTTTTTAAAGGAGAGACTGACATAAGCTTTGTGAAATACAAGAACACTCCTCTTCCAGAAGAACATAGCCAGGTGAGGCCCTGAACAATAAAACCATTACATGGAACAGAACTTCGAGGGTGTATATTATAAAATAAATTCAAAATAATTATCTAAGGAAAACGTAACTCCCTTTCAGACTGCTATCCTTATTCGGATTGCTAATTTATCTCAAGAGAATATAAAACCTATCACCAACTCAAACAATGATTACCTATAATTCCACTTTTCATTTGTTATGTAGAAAAGCTGTACTCCAAGTACTTCTAAAGGAACATAACTTCATGATAAAATCATGAGAAAGAATTTAGATAGAGACATACTAATTAAGGACAGCAACTCACAAACATGCTTACAGCAGGGTTCTGGAAGCAGAAAAGTTTGACACCATTAAAAAGTTGTTACAGACTGATGTACAGAAGAAGCCAAAGACTGTAAATTCCATCTTTTATTAATAAAGGGATTTGTCACAGGGGAGAAAGACAACCAAAATATGTTAACATACTTCATTTTGTGCTTTATAAATAAAAATTTATAATGATGCCACTAAATGAGGAAACAAGTGAAGTAACACAAGCCTCGGTGAGGTGAAAGTATCTTTATAACACTGAATATGAATGCAAAAATCCCTACTTTTCCTGCTTTTATTTTGGAAAATAAGGGATTCTGAAAATACTTATACTCAGAGGAAATTTTCAGTGCAATTATGTTGTCAGCACTCACTAGTTACTCCATTGGTTGCCTAATCCTACTAGGCATTAAATAAAAACTCTGATATAGAGTAAATGAAGCCTAACTCAACAACATCACATTAGTTCTCTTCACTTACCCTTGCATAGTGGAATTCAACTCCATAGAGTTCTAAGGTACGTGCTGTGTTCAGATAATTAAATTCTGCTTCTGCAGGAGATAAGCCTCTGTAAAGACAGTGTAGTAAAAATTATACCAATCACAAATATGGCCAAACTGGAAAAAAAAACCTATTTATCTAGAAAAATTTCAGCATTCTAGTTAAATCTTTTATAATACATCATGCATGACTACTCCTCTTAGTTGTATACAGTAATATCTAACTTATCTGGAAAGTAAATTTTCATTAACACAAATCATTATTTTGTAGAATATTTCATTTTCCAGAAATACAAGAATGCACTAGGGGATGTGGAGAAAAGGAACCCTTGTGCACTGTTGGTGAGAATGTAAACTGATGCAGCCACTACGGTAAACAGTATGGCGATTCCTCAAAAAATTAAAAATACAAATACCACATTAAAGGGGTCTCTTTGAGTAGGGAAAAAAAACACCAAAAGCAACAAAGTCTAGAAAGAAACAGAGAACGTCAACATCACCAGAAACACTAACTTTACAAGTAACACAATGGCACCAAATCTATCAATATCTATCAATAATCACTCTGAATGTAAATGGACTAAATGTCCCAATCTATCAACATAGGGTATCAGAATGGATGAAAAACAATATCCATCTATATGCCCCCTATAAGAGACACATTTTAGAGCTAAGACACCTGCAGATCGAAAAGTGAGGGGATGGAGAACCATCAATCATACTAATGGACGTCAAAAGAAAGCCAGGGTAGCCATACTTATAATATAATTATATTATTTTTAATATAATTTTAATTATATTAATTTTAATCTAAGTATATATAATAAATAAAATTATATTTAATATAATATATATTTTATAATTATATATCATATCTAATATAATATATATTAGTTATAATATACATTTTATTATTTTGAGAGAGAGAGTGTGCACACGTGTGCGCATGAGCAGGGGACAGAAGCAGAGGGAGAGAAAGAGAATCTTAAGCAGGTTTCACACCAAGCACAGATCCCAATGTGGGGCTTGATGCCATGACTGGGAGATCATGACCTGAGTCAAAATCAAGACTCGGACACTTAACCAACTGACCACCCAGGCACCCTGTGACAAACGAGATTTTAAACTGAAGACTGTAACAAGAGATGAAGAAGGGCATTACATCATAATGAAGGGGTCTCTCCATCAAGAAGAACAATTGTAAAAATTTATGCCCCCAACTTGAGAGCCCCCAAATATGTAAATCAATTAATCACAAACATAAAGAAACTCACTGATAATAATACAATAATAGTATGGGCCTTCAATACCCCACTTACAACAATGGACAGATCATCTAAGCAGAAAATCAACAATAAAACAATGTCTTTAAATGACACACTGGACCAGATGGACTTAACAGATATATTCAGAACATTTCATCCTAAAGCAGAATAAACATTTTTTTTCAAGTGTATATGGAACATTCTCCAGAATAGATTATGTACTGGGTCACAAATCAGCCCTCAACAAGTACAGAGAGACTGAGATCATACCATGCACATTTTGAATTACAATGCTATGAAATTGGAAGTGAACCACAGGAAAAAATTGGGAAAGAACACAAATACATGAAGTTTAAAGAAGTTCTCACTAAAGAATGAATGGGCTGGGGCACCTGGGTGGCTCAGTGAGTTGGGCATCCAACTTCAGCTCAAGTCATGATCTTGTGGCTGGCTTGTGGGTTCAAGCCCCACATCAGGCTCTGTGCTGACAGCTCAGAACCTGGAGCCTGCTTCGGCTTCTGTGTCCTTCTCTCTCTCTGACCCTCCCTGACTCATGCTCTGTCTCTCTCTCTCAAGAATAAATAAATTTTTTAAAAAATTTAATAAAAAAAAGAATGAATGGGTTAACCAGGAAATTAAAGAAGAAATAAAAAAAAAAAAAAACTACGTGGAAGCAAATGAAAATGAAAACTTGACAGTCCAAAACCTTTGGGATGTAGCAGAGATTGCAATACAAATCTACCTCAAGAAGCAAGAAAATTCTCAAATATACAACCTAACCTTACACCTAAAAGAACTAGGAAAGAAACAGCAAATAAAGCCTAAACCCAGCAGAAAAGAAATAATAAAGATGAGAGCAGAAATAAATGACACACAAACAACAACAAAAAAAACAGTATAACAAATCAAAGAAACTAAGAGCTGATTCTTTGAAAGAATTACTAAAATTGATAAACACCTAGCTAGACTTATCAGAAAGAAAAGGACTCAAATAAATAAAATCATGAAAGAGATCACGACTGACGCCACAGAAATACAAACAATTATAAGAGAATATCATGCAAAATGATATGCTAGAGAGCCTGGGTGGCTCAGCTGGTTAAGCATCCAACTCTTGATTTCAGCTCAGGTCATGATCTCACAATCGTGAAATCAAGCCTGGCATCCTGTTCCATGGTGAGCATGCAGCATGTTTGGGATTCTCTCGAGTGCCCTCTCTCTGCCCCTCTCCCATTTGCTTTCTATCTCTCAAAATAAATAAACACACATTAAAAAAAAAAAAAAAGTATGTGCCAACAAACTGGAAAATCTGGAAGAAATGAACAAATTCCTAGAAACATTCAAACTACCAAAACTGAGTCAGGAAGAAATAGAAAATATGAACACACCCATAAGCAGCAAAGAACTTGGATCAGTAATCAGAATTTTCCCAACAAACAAAAGTCCAGGGCCAGACGGCTTCCCAGGGGAATTTTAACAGATATCTGAAGAAGAGTTAATACCCAGTTTTCTCAAATTTTCCCAAAAACATAGAAATGGAAAGAAAATTTCCAAACTCATTCGATGAGGCCAGCATTACCTTGATTCTAAAACCGGACAAAGATCCAACTGAAAAGGAGAATTACAGGCCAATATCCCTGATGAACATGAATGCAAAAATTCTCAAAAAGAAACTAACAAATCAAATCCCACAGTACCTTAAAAGACTTATTCACCACAATCAAGGGGGATTTATGCCTGGGCTATAGGGGTGGTTCAATATTCACATATCAATCAACATGATACATCACATTAAAAAAGAAAGAATAAGAACCACATTATCTTCTCAATAGATGCAGAAAAACCATTTGACAAAATACAGCATTCATTTTTGATAAAAATCGTCAACAAAATAGATACAGATGGAACATACCTCAACATCATAAAGGCCATGTATGAAAGACCCACAGCTAATATCATCCTCAATGGGGGAAAAACAGAGCTTTTCCTCTATGGTCAGAAACAAAACAGGGATGTCCACTCTCACCATTACTATTTAACATGCTACTGGAAGTCTGGGCCTCAGCAATCAGACAACAAAAAGAAATAAAAGGCATCCAAATTGGCAAGGAAAAGGTCAAAATTTCACTATTTGCAAACAACATGATACACTATGTAGAAAACCTGAAAAGACATCAAAAAAACTGCCAGAACTAATACATGAATTCAGCAAAGTTGCAGGATATAAAATCAACATAGAGAAACTGGTTGCCATTTCTATACACCAATAATGAAGCAGTAGAAAAGGAAATCAAGGAATTGATCCTATTTACAATTGTAACAAAAAGTGTAAGATACCTAGGAATAAATGTAACCAAATTGGTAAAAGATCTCTACTCTGAAAATTATAGAACACTTATGAAAGAAATAGAAAAGGACACAAAGAAATGGAAAACCATTCCATGCTGATGGACTGGAAGAACACTGTTATAATGTCTATAGTAACCAAAGCAATCTACACATTTAATGCAATCCCTACCAAAATACCACCAGCATTTTTCACAGAGCTAGAACAAATAATCCCAAAATTTGTATGGAACCACGAGAGCCCGTAAATAGTCAAAGTAATCCTGAAAAAGAAAAGCAAAGCCGGAGGCATCATGATTCTGGACTTCAAGCTATATTACTAAGCTATAGTCATCAAGACAGTTAAGGTACTGACACACAAACAGACACACAGATCAATGGAACAGAAGACCCAGATATGGACCCACAACTATACTGCCAACTAATCTTCAACAAAGTAGGAAAGAATATCCAATGCAAAAAAGTCTCTTCAACAAATAGTATTGGGAAAACAGAACAGCAACATGCAGAACAATGAACCTGGACCACTTTCTTACACCATACACAAAAATAAATTCAAAATGGATGAAACACCTAAATGTGTGACAGGAAACCATCTAAATCTTGTAGGAGCAAAGGGGGCGGCAACCTCTTTGACCTCAGCCATAGCAACTTCTTATTACAACACATTGCTAGAGGCAAAGGAAAAAGCAAAAATGAAGTATTGGGGCTTCATCAAGATAAAAAGCTTCTGCACAGCAAAGGAAACAATCAACAAAACTAAAAGGGAACCAACAGAATGGGAAAAGATGTTTGCAAATGACATATTTGATAAAGGGTTAGTATCCAAAATCTATAAAGAACTTATCACACTCAACACCCAAAAACAAGTGATCCAGTTAAAGAAATGGGCAGAAGACATGAATAGATATTTTTCCAAAGAAGACATCTACCAGATGGCTAACAGACACATGAAAAGATGCTCAACATCACTCATCATCAGGGAAATACAAATCAAAACCACAATGAGATACTGCCTCACACCTGTCAGAATGGCTAAAATTAACAACACAAGAAGCAACAGGTGTTGGCGAGGATGCGGAGAAAGGGGAATCCCTTGTACTGTTTGTGGGAATGCAAACTGGTACAGCCACTGTGGAAAACAGTATGCAGGTTCCTCAAAAAGTTACAAATAGAACTACCCTATGACCCAGGATTACACTACCAGGCATTTACCCAATGAATTAAAAAAAAACCAAAAACAAAAACAAAAACAGATTCGAAAGGGTGCCTGCACCCCAATGTTTATGGCAGCAACAGCTAAACTATGGAGAGCCCCAGTGTCCATCAATAGATGAATGGAAAAAGATGTGGTATATACATATAATGGAATATTGCTCAGATATCAAAAAGAGTGAACATTTTCCATTTACAACGACATGGATTGGAGCTAGCCATGCTAAGCAAAATAAGTCAGTCAGAAAAAAACAAATACCAAATGATTTCACTTATATGTGGAATTAAAAAAACAAAGCAGATAATATATGGGAAGGGGTAAAAAAAGAGAGAGAGAGAGAAGAGAGAGAAAGAAACAAACCATAAGAGACACTTAATAGAGAACAAACTGAGGGTTGATAGAGGGGAGGTGGGTGGGGGATGGGCTAGAGGGGTGATGGGTATCAAGGAGGGCACCTGTTATGATGAGCACTGAGTGTTGTATCTAAGTGATGAATCAATGAATTCTACTCCTGAAACCAATACTGTACTGTATGCTAACTAAAATTTAAAAAGAATAAAAATACCATGTGAGAAATGAATGAAAGAATGAATAAGTAATTAAATAAGAAGTACCATATGATCCAGTAATTCCACTACTGGGTATTCACCCCCCAAAAATGAAAACACTAATTCAAAAAGATATATGGCCCCCTATGTTTACTGCAGCATTAATTACAAGAGCCAAGATATGGAACCATGCCAGTGTCCATTAATAGATGAATGGATAAAGATGTGGTGTGTACATATACGATGGCACATTATTCAGCCATAAAAAAGAATAAGATCTTGCCATCTGTGACAAAATGGATAGATCTAGAAGATATTATGCTAAGTGAAGTAAGTCACACTAAGAAAGAATAATTTCACTTACATGTGGTATCTAAAAAATGAATAAACAAAAGCAGAAACAGACACATAAATACAGAAAACTAACTCATGGATGCCAGAGGGGAGGGCTGTGGGTGGGTGGGCAAAATGGGTGAAGGAGAATAGGATATACAGGCTTCCAATGACAGAATGAGCTGGTACAGCATAGGGAATACAGTCAATGGTATTGTATTAGTGTATGATGACAGATGGTAGCTACATTTTTGAGTGTAGCATAAGGAATAGGCTTATCAAATTACTACAGTCAATACCTGGAAACTAATATAACTGTGTGGCAGCTGTATTGAAAACAAAACAAAACAAAACAAAAACCCAGGTTTTAAAAGTCCCTCGGTGTTCTTATGGCTGACAAAGTCATTTATTCCCTGACAAAATGTGAAAGAAGTGATTTTCAAAATTTGGTCCATATACCGTATCTGTGTTTAATCCATAGTTGCTTCTAAAACATGGAAGTTTTGAGACAATCTCCTGAGCAGTGCTTCTCAGATATGGTGTACAGACAGGTGGTGATTCATAACAAGTACAGAAACTGACAGTGTCAGACTTTTATATTTTATAGCACTTTGACAGAGCAATTGCATGTCTGTGGAATCTAAGGTCTTGTCATTTTTATGTCTCTATTTCTCCATTTTACTTTTCTAGTAATTTAATTTTATTATTTTTTCAGAAGTTTCATTCCATGACAAACGGGGAAAAAAACTGGTCTCATCAGTTTCAGAAATACAATTGTATACAATTGGATATAAAATGGTAAGGTCCTAAACTATTTATATTTAAGCAATGTCCCAGGTGATTCTTATGAACACAGCAACGCAGTGTTCTTATGAACACTCGGCAAAGCCATCAGAAGTAGATTTACTCCTGCATTATATATATTTCTAAAAATCTTAGTTATCTGATATTATCTGACTATAGCAGAGCAAAAGCAGCAAACTACCAAAAGCAAAAAATATCAATCTTTCACTCACTAATGATACCAGAAAAGGAAGCCAACAGCCTACCAATGCATGATCATAAAAATGAGATTCCTAAAAAAAGCACATATACCTCAATTTTCTATAAAATTCAATTAAGTTAAACAAATACTCTATCTCCCCACCCCAATCCCCACTTCTCAAACTGGATGATTCTATTTTTCTTTGTTTAAAGATCTGAGGAATCATTTCTCTAAACCAAATACAAATACATAATATCTTGTCAAATGTACAAGCTTTTTCCTTACAGAAGAGACTTTACTGGCAAATTTTTAAAAAATCTGGTTTATCTTCAAATCCTTGATCGGATATGCTATGTGTAGAACTTTTACTACAAATGGCACTTACTGTTAGACCAAAATAGCCCCTTCATCTCATTAGGCCAGTTTATTAAAATTCTCATTTTATTAGTCTTATTTTAGATCAGAGGTCAGCAAACTTTTATTGAAAAGAGTGAGATAGTAAATACTTTAGGCTTTTAGATCACGTGGTCTCTGCTGCAACCACTCAACTCTGCTGTTACATGAAAGCGGCCACAGACATGAAAACGCGTAAGGGAATCTGTGTTCCAGTAAATGTTCATTTATGGATACTGAATTGGAATTTCTGAAAATTTTACATGCTACAAAATGTTATTTTTCTTTTTATGTTTTTCTCACCCGTTTAAAACATACAGATCATTCTTAGCCCGTGGGCCATACAAAAATAGGCAGTACGCCAGTTTGTAAACCTGTGTTAGGTACATGGGCCATAACCAAATGAAAGGAAGTTCCCTTAAATTAAGAGCCAATATTTCTTCAGTGTTTACTATGGACTAGGCACTATTCTGAGTACTTTGTATATATGAACTAATGTAAGCCTTACATTAACTCCAGAGGTAGACACTTTTATTATCTCCAATTTACATAGAAGCAGAGAAGCAGAGATACAGAGCAATTTGGTCAAGATTATTGATCATTAAGTTGTCTTTTTTTTTTTTAAGTTTATTTTATTTATTGTGAGAGACAGAGAGAGGAAGAGACAGAGGAAGAGAGAGAGGGAGAGAGAATCCCAAAGAAGCTCCATGCTGTAAGCACAGAGCCCGATAATGGGCTTGACCTAAGGAACTGTGCGATAATGACCTGAGCCAAAACTGAGTCTGGACGCTTAACTGACTGAGCCATTTGGGCACCCCAAAAGTTGTCGCATCCAGAATGCGACAGAGCAGTCTGTCTCTCTAGTTCAAACTCTTAGCCAATACGTAGCACTGCCTTAGTTTCTCTGTGAGTATTCTGAATTGTATGTTAAAGCAAAAGCAAACTCTGAACCAATAAACAATATTATTTTCTATTCAAACCAATGTATCTCTTCTTGAAACAAATTATGTCACAGAAAATTAAGACTCACAAAATATCAAAGTTGAATACTGTTATGAATGAAAAAGTGCTACTTTTTTAAAAAAGGACTTTTAAAAACATTATTTTAGTATTACATAAAGTTCCTTTTTTCCTTTTGGTTCACTGCAAAACAAATGATTCCTTTCACATAGCTAAAAACTAAGAAAGAATTGCTGAGTAGATTGATCTGTAACAGTTGTTCTGTGAAGATACCATTAATATTCTAAAATTCCTTCTTAAAGAACTGTCAACTTTATATAATAGCAAACTTCTGTTTACCTATAGTTTTATGGGTAGTAGAAATGACAAAAAAACCTTACGTAGTCTATGAAATTAGTAATGATTTTTTAGTATAGATAACCCACATTTCCTTACATCAATCACACTATTTTACATAACAGTAACTGTTCTATATTAAATAAACACAACACTCACATTAGAAATAATTTAAAACCTTTCTCTAGAAAACATGCCATTAAGAAGTTTATGAAATAAGTGGAAAAGTAAATAAATTCTTACGTATGTTGCTGATGTAATTTTGCAATTTCTTTTTCAAAATCTTGAGGTTGATTAGGAATGAAAGAATAATCTGAGAGGTAGCCTGGCAAGTTCTCTGACTGACTGTAGTCTCCAAGTTCAGCTATTATATGGAAGGAAAATATTCACAATTTAATAAACACATTTTGTACTTCTGATAGCTAAATAAGAAATGTCATGAATTCCATTATATTTCTGGAAGTAAAGTATTTGTTTTTACTGCTAGCTACCATGTAAGCAAATTATGACACTACACTTAACATTTCTAGGTCTCAAACAACTTCAGAAAAACTTTTTAGGAAACAAACTAATTGCTAACTAGTTGGATATTTCATTACATTTTCTTTGCAATCACTTTTTCTGTATAATAATGTATGTCTAAAGAACTCATACATTAAAGGTAATATACTATCAACACAGACCATGCAATCACATACTCCATGACCCAAAAGTGGGCTGATACTTACACTGAACAGCAAATGAAGCCAAAAGGGCAGCAGTATTATAAGGACAGGGCAATCTAATAAAACAAAATAGAAAACACATACCCCATGGTTAAACACAATAATTTCAAAGCACTGTAATTTATATTATACTATTCCATGTGACTTACTTTTTAATTGTTAAGTAATGATCTTATCTGATGAAAAAAACTGATGCTACATGCAACCATTTTCAATAATTTGTTTGCGATGATCATGAATTACTTAAATAATACAGAACTGAAAGTACTTTTAAAGCCCATTACTAAAAACTTAAAATAGCCCACCTTCCAGTAAGAATGTCTTGTTTAATTTGCAAAAAATACTGGTACCTTAAAGAGAGAGAGAGAGAGACAGCATTTAGCATTTACTGGAATTATAACATTTCAGGATTAAAAACTGTATACTTATATTAACCAATATAAGTATATTTGAAATATTTACAAATTATATATTTGCTTTTATAATCTACATATTAGCACACATAGATATATTTTTAAGATTTCATATTTCATGAATTCCAATCATTAAAATTCTTTGACAGACAAAATTCTGTACTTCAAATATCTTGTTTTCACTAGCTTCTATTATAAAATTTCTCAACATCTTTAAGAGTTACATGACCAAGGGAGATTAAGGAGAATACTCTAAGATTGGTGTTTGTAGAAATTAGAACTGTGAAACACAGAAAAGTTGAGTCAGAGACATCAGAGAGCTGACCGCAGCAATACTGGGGATCAACTGGAGAAAACCATCCTTTCTGCTGAGACAGAAAGCCAGAGGCAAAGACATGCCTATGATCATCTTATCATTATGCTGCCCCCTGCTGGAAGCTGCTAATTGTAGAAAAACACCTTTCTATTTTCATTTGAGTTAAGAAAGCTCTTTTTGATGAGGAAAAAAAAAAACAAAAACAAAAACCAAGACCCCTTCTCTACCATTAGAATGGCCAAGTAAGCAAATTCCTTTAACACCAATAAAAATACAAGATTTCTATAAAAAAGAATGCTGAGGTTCCTTACAAGATGGCACTGTCCTCTTGTAAGTCCCAGCTAATGGGTAAGTCATTCCCTAATGCTTGCAGCAAACAAGTCACCTGTGGGCACAACACTGGCAGAAGACCAAATTTTGTGGCTTTAAATAGGAAATTTTAAGACTTTTATTTCATCCCACTGAAAAAAGTAAAAACACCCCAAAAATCAAAAATCATTAACAATTTTAGTTGTCTGATTAAAATTATGAAAGCGTACATGACAATATTTAAATTACTAAATAATTTAATTAAGGATTTCAGAGAATCAGATATTCACTATAAAAAATTTTTTTTAAAAAGCTGATACAAATATCCTGACTGTATATATTAAAGAAGTATGTAAACTCCCTGTGAGAATACATAATGCATAATATTGTAAATATTATCTACTTATTCAATCTAAGACAAGATATTTCTATCTAGTTTACCTGGTTTCATAATTAAAAGTTAAAAGTTCCTGGTGGGAAACAATCTTATAGTTAAGTTTAAAAAGGCATGTATATCCTTGACAAAATATTATAATCTTACACAAATAATACCTATGCCTGCCGAATTTTATTTATACACCAACCAGTAACAACTATAGAGTGGAAACCAGAATTCAAGTCATAAGCTAAGCCAGCCTGTGTTCTTTAGAAAATTACTTAAAATTTGGCTGACCCTTAGTTTCTATACTTGTAAAAAGGAAGTAATATCACTTGTATCCCAGGGGCCCTAAATCAGGTGACAAACACCCAATTTTTACAATTAAGACTTTTAAGAGAGATTAATAATGCTTGAGGTAAATACAGAAATAAAATGTTTAATCTCTAAAAATAATATAACTTTTCTAACCCAGACAATAACCAATACCATAAACACCTATCATGTATCGAGTACACCTAGGCACTAAAAAGGTACCAAAAAGAACTGTCATTTGTACCCTCATGACTCCTGAGAAAACTCCAATTCTAAGGATGCCAGCACCTGCTAACACCAAATGACTGTAGTTTGATGGAAGCTCTATATGGCCCACTCTTTCCTACCACTAATCTAAAATGGAATCTCAAGGTAAGGGGGTGTAGCAGATTTCCTGTTTTGTGGGTTTAAACTAGTCCTTAAAATTTAGCAACTGTGGCTGAAGGTGTCATATTACTAATCATGACCACTGCATTAAGGTTGTCCAAGCACTAAAGTTTTAAAGGAGTATTTCTTAAACCTGCTGCACATTAGAATCACCTGGGAAGCTTGTAATGCCTGTGCACAGGTCCCATCTGAGACTGAATTGAATCAGAATATCTAGGAGGTATGTCCAAGGCATCAGCATGTTTTAAAGCTCCCCTAAGTGATTCTAAGTTGTAGTCAGGGTAGAGATTCACTAATGTACACTATGGTAATATAATAAAAACTAGGTACTTAACTCATTTTTACCAAACAGCACCAGATATAAGACTCTAGGACATTCTATCATAAAGGATTTTTGAATGAATACATTATTTCTAGTGAAAACAAAGAATCTTCTTGACAACAGACTGAGCACAAATTAATCTCTTGACTACTACCAAACTTGGCTTTACTTTCTTCTACTTCAGGAAGATATTTTGACTTATCAATGAGATACATTTATTCCTTATGCTTTCAACACAGGTTTTAAAAGAATCAACACATTCAAGCTCCATTAAGAAATTCAAAAACATTCTTTTGAGTGAAGTAAATTAATGAATAGGGTTATAATTGACACTATTTTAAGTGTTATGCTAACAAACTTCATGAATGTTAAACACATTAGAAATCCAACTTTAAATAATTGGTCTTTTAATTGCAAATATTTCTTATACATTTAAAAATCTGATTACATAAAACATGTATTATAAAATACTTTGGCTACTTTATTTCAGGTTATATTTACCAGCAAATAGTAAAATGCACTTTAAAATGTTTTATACTTCACAATTTTCATTAATTCAAAGTAGTTTCCTTGAAGTTAATTCAAAATTAGAGAAGTTTTTATACTAAGAATTATTAAGATAAAGGATTTTGTTATTTTAATTATTTAACAACAACAACAAAACACGACTAAGAACTATAATATTTAATTGAAGGTTATTCATATAACACAACTTTGCATTTCAAGACAAATTAGCTTGGAAATGCTATTAGTTTCAAAGGATAGGACTGCCTAACCCAGGGGCTACACTCCTAAATTCTGTTATAAAGAGCTTCACACCTGGCCCCCAACAAACACCCAGAAAAGGATTCTTAAGAAGGTCAACCTAACTTTTCTCATCTGGTCTGCAGAAAACCCTACTGTATAAACACCTGAGGATTGGCAGATATAGGTAAGTATCTTTAATTTATTCTTTTGTTTCACCACAGCACCACAGAATTCTAAACAATGACCAATATATTAACATGTCACAACCTATCTACACATAGCTTTAGACACACATTGTTAATTTGGCACTTATCCTTTAGAGTAATTTTGAATACAAGCACTGACCTATATTCTTCTATTTAAGATTTTTATGGAAGGTATCATATGTTAATTTTTAGTCTTAAAAAAAAAACCTGATTACTAATTGTCTTACAAGCAGTAAACAAAGTTATTATTCAGGAACAGATATCATACTGTAATTATTTCTACCTTAAACAGTTCACCTAACATTCATACACTCAAATGCTCATCTGGGTCATTTTTGTGTATACTTTGTCCTTTAGAAGTGACAACAAAATTAGACTGTAACTTAAGATCAGACTTAAAATGGCCAATAAAGTGGGCACTTAAAGACATGAATGTATTAGAGCATTCTCTGCCAACATTCTTTATAAAAAGGTACCTGCTCACGTGAAACGAATGTAACACCGTATGTCAATTATACTTTTAAGGAAAATGGTGGGGGGGGGGAAGGTACCTATTGACCATTACTCCTGCACATAATGGTTATATATTTTCTAAATTCTGTGTTCGCCTCAATGGAAATACAAAAATATACATAGAATATTCTTTTACATGAAAGGCACAATTCTCACAATGCAGCATCACTTGGATACAATTGCAGTATCATCTAATTACCTCAATTAGTTACAGAAGTGCTTCTTAGCCATTTTTTAAAAAAGGAAAAATCTAATTTTATATGGTTCAGGAGGCTGCCTGTGGTTGGATGGGGTGGTCCTGGGATCCCAATCTCCTAAAGCCCTCCCAGCCATGCAAGAAGGCAGGAAACGATTATCATGAAAGCTTTATACCCTATTCTGTGTGATGGCTGGGAAGCTCAGAAGTACACTATGATAATCTATTTTTGCCTAAATAATTTCAAAATTTCATAATAGTTTTGACAATATTTTCAGGAAAAACATGCTCCATAAACCCACCTTGTGTATTCTTCTTGTAACTTGTTGGGGTCACTTACAAAAAATTTGACTCTAAAGTTCAAACTGTAAGGAGATCCTCCTAGAAGTAATAAAAGCAGTTCTAATTAATTAGATTATATCAATCCTTTATCTTTATAAAGTATACTTGCAAAACATCAAGTAAATATGTATGCTCACTCTTTAGCTGCTTCCTTATAGGTTTGTTTGGATCCAGCCACCTCTGAAAAATAAACAAATAAGACTGATTTCTTTTTCCCTTGAGGAACTAATACATCAATTGTTGCAAATCTATAACATTTGAAGATCATTCCTAAAAACTTCATTTTGAAAAAGGTCTAGGAAAAATACTCAATTTATAGATATTCATATCAAGTATAACAAAATTAATACTAGAAAGTACTGAGCGTATTTGTGGTAGCTCTAAATTTTTCATTTGAATTTTCCATCAAAGTATACAGTGTCCAACATAACCTCTATTCCAAAACTAAAAATAATCACAGCAATCTGAAGTGATTTCTGTTAATTTAACTGTATTATGTAACAGTGTGGCAAGTTTTTAAAATTCTTGGTATCTTTCATAAAAATATAGTTGGCCTTATAATCTCATTCAAACAAAATCTAACTACACATCATGAAAATATACTCTTAAGGAAAATTTTTTTAACTTCTACCCTATTCCTTAAAAAATACAACTATCTCCTCCCCCCACCCACCAAAACAAAACATAACAAAACACCCTCCACACTAATTTTGTAAGAGACAGTGTTTAGTTTGGGGAATGACTGATTTTTGGGTGTGAGAATTTTAAGTAGCCTCAACACTTCCGAATGCCAGTTAAGCTCTACTTCAGGAAAACTATAACTGAATTCAGAAAATATTTCAACTGCCAACATATTTCATTAAAAAAAATTAAAGAACCCAAAATGAGTAACAGATGTGGCAGTATTTTCAAAGCACTACACAAATATCAACTTACATCATTATGTATAAACCATACTCCACCACCCATACTTGATTCCATGCAGAACACATAGAGATTTTAATAACAAATAGCTGACATTAATTCGTAAACCTTCCCTTTCCACAATCCACAACATCCAACACATCAAATCCAGTTGATTCTACCTTCTTCCTATACCTAGAATTTAACAGTTCTTCTCCATCCATTCTGCCACCATCTTATATCTGGGATAGCTCTGGCCATAGCCTCATAATTGTTATCTCTGCTTCTTTTCTTACCAAGTTCTTCATTCTCCATCTGGAAGCAAGTGTAGGCTTTTGAAATATGTCACTTCTTTCCTTAATAGCTCTTGGCATTTTGGCATTTTCTCTTGCAAAGTTCAAAGTCCTTACTAGGGCTTGCATGATCACTTCTTACCTCAGTTTACTAAGCTCCAGCCATAATGGTTTCCTGTCTGTTTCTCACAGATGCTATCTTAGGGTCTTTGATTAGAAGCTCCCTTATGCACATCATGTCCTTCTCTAACTTTCCCATATCTTACTCCTTCCATTACTGTTAAGTCTCAGCTTAAACACTACCTCCTCAGAAAGGCCTTCATTGATCACCCTAACAAAAGTATGTCATGAAGGGGTGCCTAGGTGGCTCAGTAGGTTGAGCATCTGACTCTTGATTTTGGCTCAGGTCATGGTCCCAGGGTAATGGGATCGAGCCTCACATTGGGGTCTGTGGTAAGCGTGGAACCTGCTTAAGATTCTCTCTCTCTACCTCTGCCCCTCTCCCCTGCTTGTACTCTTTCATATATATATATATATATACACATACACATATATATATGAAAATATATATATAAATATATATATATTTACATACATATATACATATAATTTATATATATATGAAGTATGTCACAAATCTTCTATGTCCTTAGTTATCTTCTGTAAATAGGCAAGGAATATTATTTTCCTTCACATTTTGTTAATTGTAATGTTTGCTTTGCCTTTTTATTGCCTAGCTCCTTCATTAGATTATGAACTCCATGAGGTAAGGGATAAAATCTGATTCATTCAAAGCTGAACAGTCAGCACCTAGGCACAGGGCTTGGCATATATGTATTTAAAAAAATGTAGAAAAGGACTTAATAAACCTGCTGAGTGGCTCAACGGTTGACACAGGGTGTGTCTGTGGGGTGTGGGGGGGGGTTGTTTCTGCGCCAGCAATCAGCTGTTTTTCACCCCTAGGTAACACATTTGCTTCCCCTGCAGCTCTACCCATTTATCCATTTTCCATCCCATCTATCTTCTAGTGATTTCATTCTACATATTTTTTAGAAAGTCATAACTTACATTCATTTTAATGCTTGTCTAAAGTCAAAATTTGGGCTCAGGTTATCTATTCAAAGCCTGCCTTCCACATTCAGTTCTCCTTTAAAATATTCTAAAATAGTATCAGAGATACAAACACATTTACATACACAAATAGATACATTCAGCTGACAAAGCTGAGGAGTACAATAATACGTACTGGGAAAAATTTTTTTTAATTTCAGAGACACAGAGAGAGAGAGAGCATGCACAAGTGAGTGGGTGAAAAGGGGAGAGGAAGAGGGAGAATCCAAAGCGGCTCCACGTTCAGCGTGGAGCCCGATGAGGGGCTCAATCCCACGGCCCTCGGATTATGACCTGAGTCGAAATCAAGAGTTGGACACTCAACCTACTGAGCCACTTGGGCATCTCTAAATACTGGAAAATTTAACAGACCTCATCAATGATGTCAATGAGACAGGACTTCAATTCTTGGCTTAAGCCATGAAAAGGGAACAATTATATAATGAGCACTCCTGGACAGTGTTCCTAGTAAAAATACATCATAAGTCAAAAGAAAAACAAAGTGGGAAAAGAGACAACATATAAAAAAGTTCTACAAATCAGTAAGAAAAAGACCAACACTAATAGAAATATGGGTAATGGGTAAGAATAGAAATTCACAGGAAATTTAAATGACATTTAAGTTATGAAAAGATATTCAATCTCGATCATAATTAGAGAAATATAAAAGTCATTTATATTAGCTTTTCATTTTTCATCAATAACACATTGGCAAAGATTAAAACTTTTAATGCTGTACCACAAATGGCAAGAATGTGGAAAACAGGCACATATACATAGCTTGTGAGAATAAAAATTATGCCATCTCAATGTAGGACAATTTGGAAATATTTATCAAAATATAAAATGTAAATGACCACAGACCCAGCATTATTTTATATAGCATTATTTACGGAGATATATTTTACACAACATAAAATTCACCATTTTAAAGTGTATGCTTCAATGTACTTGAGTATATTCACTATGTTATGTAACTATCAATACTAAATAATGTCAGAATACTTGCATCACCCCAAAAAGAAATCCCATACCTAGTAACAGTCCATTTCAGTGGCCCCCTGGCAACTGTTATTCTACTTATGATTACTATGGATTTTACAATTTTGGATATTTCATATGAATGCAATCATACAACAGATGGTTGTTTGTGCCTAGCTTCTTTCACTTGGTATAATGTTTTCGAGGTTCATCCATGTTGTGGCATTTAACAGTACCACATTCTATTTTATAGCTAACATTTAGGTTGTTTTTTATCTTTTGGCTCTCATGAATAACAATACTATTAACATCTGTGTAAAAGTTTTCTGTGAACATGTGACTCAGTTCTCTCAAAGGTGTGTCTAAGATTGGTATTGTTTGGTCATATGATAACTCTGTATTTAACTTTTTAAGCAATTACCAAATTTTTTTCCATATTACATTTCTACCATCTATGTAAAAAAAAAAGGGTTCCAATTTTTTTGTATCCTCATCAGTACTTGCTATTGTCTTTTTAATTATACCCATCCTACTAGGTGTGAAGTGGTATGTCATTCCTTTGATAAATTATATTCTATTGTATGGATATACAACTTGGTTTATTTGTTCATCAGGGGGTGGACATGAGTGCTTCCCCTATCTATTATGAATAATGCTACTATGAACAGCTGAGTAGTAACTTTTGTGTGTGGACATGTTTTCATGTTTGAGTAAATACTGGGAGTGGAATTGCTTACAGTACCTTTTTGCATTATGTCCTGAAAACAAGTATTGTAAGCTCTCTAATTTTCCTGCATAAATGGGCATTGAGAGTATATCACTATTTTTAGTCATACACCATAATCTATGCCCAAAATCATTACACCAATTGAATTACTATGCTGTATCTAAGAGTCTTCATTGTTTAAAATGCAATATATATGAATTTAAAATGTGGTATCTTACTAGAAATGATTAATACCTACCAAGTGTTAATAGCTAATAAGGAAGTTCTGGTTCAAGATGGCAACCTAGGTGAATCCTACTAAACTCACCTACCCCCATGGACACACTGAATCTAAAAGCTACATACAGAACTATTTCCTCTGGAAAAAACCCCAGAACTAGATGAGTGACTTCCTCTCATTGAGTGAAGGAGAAAAAACGCACAAAGTGGGAAAGACAAGACACAATCTCACCATAAAACCCAACCCCAGCATGGTAACCCACTCAGGAGGGAACTCACAACCCCGAGCCTCTCCCTGAAGAGCAAAGAGTTTGAACTGCACATCTGGTGCCTCAACCTTTAAAACCTGCACCTGACAGAAGAGACCCCAAAATCCCTAGCTTTGAAAGTCAACTAGAGCCTGTGACCGCAAGACTCCCAAGACTAGAGTAAACTGAGAAACAGTTCTTAAAGAGTTAGTGCAAACTCACCCAACCCAGGGCAGAGCAGAGCCAACTGAAAAGTGCCCAGACTTTATGTGAGAGACAGACTTACTTGCTTATCTTAAAGCATGGGCCTAAGGGGAAGACACCTAATTTAACATACGTCGAGGGGGCCCTAGTGAAACACTCTCCAGATACGGAGGCCAGCAGGCACCATCTTTGTACGCTCCCTCTGCCTCACTCCAGGTCATTGGTATCTCTTGGAAAGAAGCTTATATATTCCTTGTTTGGCACCCTGATTTTTTCAACTGCTGCCTAGGAGACACCTCTAGATTGTTCAGCTCTGGCGACCAACGGGGCTGAAGTCTGCAGGTCCCATGGGACTCTTCTAACAAAGGGAGAAAGGGTTCTAAACCAGCTACTCCCCGCAGGGCACAGCAAAAAGGCAACAGACTGAGGCACTCAGTCTTTCTGTCAAGGAGCCCTATTTGCTTCTCTTATAGCTGTGGCCAGAGTAGCAGGCTT